TGGCATCTTGGAGAATGCTGTTGCTTTAAATATCCAAAATGGTCAAACCTCTCATAAACATTCAAAATAGCTGCACCCACCGGACAGGTAAAAGTCTACAGCTCAGCCCGCCTTCCTCTCCACTGCTTCCCCTTTTATTCACCGGCCACCAGAGCAGTCGCCTATTCAGTCCCCTGGCTAGCAGGGCTGATTTTTAGGTTAATTCTTAGGTCCTACAACCACTCAGCAATATCCAAGCTGTCTGTGCTGTCAGCATTGCTGCCAGACCACAGCTCCGTATGTCTCTTTTTTTGTGTTTTCATGCAAATTCTTCTGCTAGTTGGAGTTTAGTCTACTTCTGTATCCTTCCCTTCAAGTCTCAGGGGTCCAGGAATATCTTCTGTATCTGTGTTAATTGGTTTCGCTTTTCTTTGTTCAAGAGGGTCTGTGCAGTCTTTCTCCCTATTCTGCCATCTTACTGGAACTTCCCTGCATTCACTCTCAATGCTTGAGAATAATCCTTTGAGACCATCTAGGCAATGGCCGCATTCTCCAGCCTCTGAGTGTTGGTCATGCTCTCTGGACTCTGGGTGTAGGCCCCTCAGCCCTGGCCTTAAGCTCTGTCTTCCTGGTGCTCTGGGATGGCAATCTGTTCCTTGGCTTTGGGCGGCACAGTCTCCTAGTCCATCTGAGTGCCAACTCCACCTCCTCAACCCCAGTCTTCCTCTTGGGTATGGCAGTTTCACCTGCTCAGCTTTGGGTGGTAGCCCTACACTCCTGACAAACCTTAATGGCAGCCCCATATGCTGGAACCAAGTTGTCAAAGATTCAATTCTTTGAAATGTATGAGGCTGTGGCCTCATCCTTTGCAACCAAGAAAAGCCTGCCTTCCCATCATCCTTCCAATAGTTCTGCTGATCTCCCAGCTGCTCCAGGATTGTCCTTTTCTTTTCTTGGAGGACAAAAGATGCAGCTCCTTTGATCTGTTTCCTGACTGTAGAATTCCAAGAGGCAGAATGTTCTCTCCTTTCCTTCTTTCTCTGTCTCAGTTAGTCTAAGTTGAAGGGTTTCCAGCTGTGGTGGTTGATTAGATTCATCAGTCGCAGGCTTAATCTCTTTAACAAGTTTGTACAGCTACTTCCTTGGTGAAAATTCTAGGACATATGTCCTTACTTTGTACAACAGAATTTTCTAAATGTTTAAGTTCTGTTTTCATTTTGCACAGGTAATTTTTAAATCCATTTCTTTCCTCTCATATTTTACTATAAGAGGCAAGAAAACCATGTGACCTCTTTAAAGTCTTGCTTATAAATCTCATCAGACAGATACCCAAGTTCATCACTTACAACTTCTACCTTCCACCAAACATTTCAACACAATTCAGACAAGTTGTTTGCCACTCCATAAAAAGCATCACCCTTCTTCCATTGTCCAATTATGTGTTCATCATTCTTAAAAAAAAAAAAAAAAAAACCTCACCAGAAACCCACTTAACAACATTCTGTTGCTGGCACCATATGTAATCTCCACAATAATGGAGACTTTATCAATAGCTCTCCTCAACTCCTTCTGAACCCTTACCAGAATGGGATTTGACATCCATAATTCTACCACCTGTTTTTTCAAGGCAATATGGGCTTTTACTATTTGACATTTTAAAATTCTTCCAGCAGCTCCCCATTACCCAATTCCAAATCTGCTTCCACATT